TCTGTACTAATGCCACAAACAAACCCTAAAAGACAAACATTTCATTATGTTCAAATGCTATAAAAACTAACTTGAAGTCAAACTATAAAAATTCAATTTCTCCTTCTTACAAACGAAATATGCAATAAGTATGATTACTGACCGTAAAGTACTTTTATAAAATTCAGAACCCTCTATACAGTGAACCTGAGAGTTCTGATTTTGTCAGTGGTATTTTTATGCAGTTAGATTGAGGTCAAAAACAAATTAAAATCTATAGTGTATTTCTCAATTTGTAATCAATTCAAGCATTCTTAACAGTTTAATACATGAAGATACATTAACTGAACACTTTATTTGCATGCATTTTCCCTACTTAAGTAAACAACAGTGATTTCTGTTCATCAATACTTAGTTGTCTTTGAACATTTTTTTTTTAGGGGTAAATGCCAGTTACCCTTATTGTTGAAAAGGAAATAGATAAGCTCAATAATTACACCTTGATAGAATACATAATTTTCTCAATGTTCAAAACTTTTTGCTTTAGTGTATAGTTCGAAAGTCATTATACAAACAACATACTGCCTCTATTACTAATAGACTTTTTAAACTACTATTTCTCACATTGTTGACATGCTGAAGTCTGAGGCCAATACTTTCTAAACTACTATTTCTTACATTGTTGACATGCCGAAGTCTAAGGCCAATCTTTCCATCTGCGTCTTTACATGCCACAACCTCTCGTACACCCTGTTTGATTTCAGCTCTCTGTAATCCTTTGTTGCTTCCTGTGATTGGAGCTACTTGCATTTGTCCCGAGGAATTTGTTCGAAGTCCAACTTGCATGTTCTAAAACAGGGGAAAAAAAGAATGACCTTGGATATTTGATACCATTGTTTTTTTGTTCTCATTTAACATGCGTATTACTTATAATTATGTTTTATTTCATCAACCACTTGAATCTTCATACGAACAGGTGATTTCTGCCTTGATGTATATGTAATAAACAATAATTATTAGCAAAAATTTATTTTATACAAGGCTTTTGCATATATACATAATGTACTTTATATTATAAGATGCTAATTGAATACTTAAATGGTGGTATACTTCTATATCTCATGAAAAGACCCCAGTAAATTTTACTTTTCCCTACAACTTAAAAGTAAACCTCAAAAAAAAGTATAGGATTGGATTAATAAGATTCCCTTAGATTCATTGTACATGTAACTCATTTTATCCAAATTTCCATTATTAAATTTGTAATTCTGGTATGACACCATAATTTTAAGAAATTAAATCTACACTTATATGTAACAGTCTATGCTATTTTGAAAGGAAAACAAATGTAACTTTTTTTTCTACAGTTGGTGTTTTCCTCTTTTCCCTGTAATTATTATGAATTCTTCAAGAGACACCTGTTACCTTTGGGTGTAAGTATTTACCTGTGCCACTACAGGCATGTTTTGTTCTACAAAAGCTGGGGTAAGTTCTAGACCCATGTAGCTCCCCAGTGAGGGGTAGAGGGAGGCTCCTTGCTGTGTGGGGTATGGTTGGGGTTGTGACCCTTGTTGTTGTGGGTAGGCAATCTGACCAGCAGCCGCAGACTCATACTGATGCTGAGCCTAAAAGATGTACGACAGATTAATTATTGGATTGTTTCTGTCAATTTGAGTTGTATCTTAAGACAATATATATTCAAGATAACCACTGAAATATTATCGGCAAATTAAAAATGAAACTAATACCTAGATTATGCATGTAAAATAATTATCTCTTTAAAGTATTATATATCCACAAAGTAGGATTTTTTTTTTTTTGAAATACAAGTATATACAAAGTTTTTATCAAGTATTTTTTTATCTAAAAAACAGAAACAAAAAAACACAGCTTTAATATTTGTTTCCTTCATTCTTATGTTTCAGAAATTTATAAAAATTACAAAATGTACAGTACCTGTGCCATTTGGTCAACTTTCATGTCTTCTAGAGTAGGATATAATCCCGACATCTTGTTTGATTCTAATTAAAAACACAGAGTATATCATATATAAAACACAGAATGACTCATTTTCCCGAGTGAAGTACATGCTGATACCCATGTAGGAAGTTTTATTGTAATCACTAAATGACAGCCATTTTTCCTCTTCACATTTTTCGTTTATTATTTCTATGCACTACAAGGGACAAAGGTAAAACCTACCTACCTGTATGTTAATGATTCTCTGAACTGTTAGATCTTGCTGTCTTGTCTTCTTTTGACTGAAAAAGTCAGATGATATTGAGTATTTGGCAATTTGTTTATTCACTTCTCCTGAACGTGACGTCAAATGTCACGAGCCATTGACATCACGTTTAAATCTAAATTTAGAAATAAAATACGGAACTAAAATATGAAATTATATGTTAGAGAAATAATTATGCAATGGAAGGGGTATATCTAATATTTGTATATTTTTTTTGCAATTAAAAGCTGAAAGAGAAAATAGAAGTTCATGACCTTAAAAACACCGGAAGTTCGCCCAAAAATGGGTATTGTGCGATCATGGCCACCGACTCTGCAAATGTAACAGGTCATAAATACACACGACAAAGAAGTAACAGTGATCCACAGGCCAGTGTGGATCCTCTAAGCACAGAAAGTGGCGAAAAGGGTAAAATTCATCTTATTCATAAGTAGATATTGATCTTAGTTGACCTGAAAACGATAAACTCCCCGCCCAAACAACAGACAAAATACACATTCCATATTTTGTTTGTTTTGGTTTTATAGTTTCAAAAGAGGTTCATAAAACATTAAATAAAAAGTGATAACAATCGTGTAATCGTGAAGTGAGCAATAACTTATACTTTTTTACTTCATGTCGTAAAGTTTCAATGAATATTTCTTTTGTCATTTCCTGGTTATCATCGGTGAGATCAGCTGAGTCGGTGTTTCCCCGAGAAGCAAGAGCCATTGTGTATTGACAGTGTTATCTCTAACATATACAAAGAAGACATGTTCGGTGTCATTTCTATCAATGGTTTAGCATTAGCAGAATTAACTGGCAAAAAGTTTATCCATTTTCTGTTTTACTTGCATTTGAGGTTATTGAGTACAAAAAAAAAGTCTATTGTAAGAGGAAAACTAAGGGGAAATTTGTGGCTATCGAATCTTGAACCTCAGATGGGTTAGGTACTGTAACCATTGAGCTATCAGTTTATGGGTTTAATACTGTCTATTATATCCTCCCTCCTTAAATTGTCTTCTCTCTGAAAGACACACAACCTGAATTCTTTAGCCCCTGGCAGTACTTTCACCTGTAAGTCAATGGGTAGCCAATGGCATCATAGGAAAGGAGAAATTTATGGCTTGACTAGGAATCAAACCCGAGACCCACTGCATTACTAGTCAGGTGCTCTAACCACTTAGCTGTCCAGGCTAGTATCCATGATCTATATATAGCCCAAACCATTACACTAAGTCACTAACGAATAAGTAACAGGTAAAATCACTGAATTAACTCCTTCTAACATTGCTGAAATAAAACAATTGACTTGAAAATAAGAGCAATTAACTTTTTGACACTCATTTTTTAAAAATTATTAATCAATTACTGATGAACTGTTCTTTGCATTCACACAAGTTTTAATGGCCAAATTGTCATTTATATTGAATTAAACACTCAGATGTAAAAATATAAGCAGGAATTGACAGTTAGGGTGCACACTTCTTTAAATAGTTTGAAAAAAAAAAAGTTTGATTTTATTTTGGTATATATGATTAAGTATCACTATTGGTTATTTCAGTGAGGTTTGAACTGAGATGGTCATTTTATTGCAATGTCTAGTCTAAAATTGTCTTCAACACCAGGGGTGTGCAATTAAAAAAATCAAGTACTAGCCCACGGGCTAGTGGCAGCAATAAAGTTACTACCCCCATGCAAGTAAAAAGTTACTAGCCCAAATGTAGGTGGGAAAAGTACCAACTTAAAAATAAATTATTGTTGAATAAGTCAGGGGTTTAAGGTAATTCTTTTTAAAATTAAAGTTTTATTCTCACTAGTAAAATTGAATCATGTATAAATTAATAATTATGATAGAAAATAAAAATGAATTTAAATAAATTTTTTTTTTCCCTTTTCTCTGTGCATATTGCACTAGCTCTATCATCTAAAACGAAGTGAAATCTTTTTTTTTTAATCTTAAATTATTAAATACACTGGAAATATATTTTTATGTACACGTAAATCACATAATACTTATCTTTCAGTTGATTGAGTGATCGTAAATAATAGATATCTGCCTTTATTTACCATAAACACATGAATGGAGGAAATTCGGGTTAGGAAAAAAACGATCGTTTTTGGAAGTAAATAAGTCAGGAAGTGCTGCAAAATGGATAAGATTATGGAGATTTACGAACAATAGGAGCATTCTGCCTGGAAATTTTTCATTGGTTGGGAATTTAATAGCAAAAAATAAGTGAAAATACCGGTAGTGATTTTCATTTATAACATTGGTATTTTTAATTTTTACTAGCCCAAGGGGCTACCTGCATGCAGAGAACAACTAGCCCGACCCCAAAAAATGGTAGCCCCGGGCGTCGGGCGATGCTAATTGCACACCCCTGAACACAGTTTGTGTAACAATAGATATTCATGTAATATCTTTATTATGTTTAATGAATTCGTGTTATCATAAACTTTTAAACTCATAAACTTGTAAGCAATTTGAAATAGAAGTTTGACAACAGGAACCAATATTGGTGGTTTTATGTTTTTCACTTTGGTATATATTTCTTATAATATTGAGTTTCCTGTGAGGAAGCTGTCATTTGACTCATGTATCACCTTGAAGCATGAAACTGGAGGTATATATATATATTTTAATAAGTCAATAAGTGTTATTGTAGCATTGATTATTTCACATCATTCATCATTCTACACACTGTAGTGTATTTTGATTTTCTTTATCGTCAAGGTATGAAATACATCATCTATCTTATTCAGAATTGTCCTTCTATAATCCATTCATCCTCAATTTAACTAGACTTAATACTGTTAGAACAGTAATTTGTTTTTGTGTAGAATATCACAGAGGTTATAATTCAGACCAGAACTTGTTAATGTATTCAAAGACCAGATCTTGCATTCATTACTTATTCTGCTTTTACCACTTAATGAATAATATGCATTTTGGATCAGTTATTAAGAACATTGTGACCTTTGATAAATTGCTAATTTTGGATTGCTACATTTTAATCAATTTTTGAATTGAATTGAATCAATTTTTGAGAGAGTGCATGGATTACAATTAAATATTTTTGTAATTAGTATATCTGGAATTTAAGTTGATGTACCAAACATGAGTATTTTAATTACAATACATCGGATGTTCATACAATGCAGCCATTTAATATAGAACTTAAAGTATGACTCAGAGGAAAATGAATCTTGGGTTTGTCATAAGAGGTTAAATGTCAACATGTACATATCAGTTTGTACCAGGTTGTAGTGACACAATAATTGGTTCTGATATAGATTTTAGCATCTTAAAGACAAACTCAACTTGCAAGGCCATTGATGTAGCCAGAGCATATAGGATTTGTGTTGTGAATTTGTCAGGTATTCTTTCATTCCATTTTACCTTCCCAGCATAATTGTAAATATTATACTTTCATGTAAATTATTTGAATTTGATTTGTTGAGAAACATCTTTTAAAAAACATTGTTACCCTCTGAATAATGATACCATGGCCCTTCAGGGCTATAAAACTTAGCAACAATCAACATTGCTTGAAGATTGGTAATATTCCTCCCAAAAATATTGACTGTACAAAGTCTATGTGTGCAAGTTTCACCTTCATTTTATCTGTATAAAAAATTCAAATCAGTACTATATAATAGATACTGCATGTAGTTGAGGGTAATATTGAAAATTGTCACCCTTCAAAAAACATTTTCAACTGAGGAGCAGCAGAGATTGACAATGCTTTTCAAGGGGTAAAAATTTTTAATGTTACCCTCAACAACATGCAGTATTTATATTATAGTTTTTTGCTATTATTTAATGTCACAATTAAATTTTATTAAAAAAAAATTGTGTGAAAAATATAAATTCTGAAATTCGGAATAGGAAAGGAGAAAATGCAACGGTTCCCTGAATTCTAGCTTGATAAGTGCTCCACTAAGTGAGTTATCTGGCCACTGGTTAATGAACCTACCTGACCAGGTCCAGCACAATACCCTGATAAAGGTATATAGCTTGATAAAGCTATATAGCTTTATCAAGGTATTACAAATACCTTGATCAAGGTATTTTATGTAATGAAAATACAAAAAAAAAATCTTAAAAAATTAAATTTAAAAGTCGAGTTATGAGTTGTGATCAGTGTGTTCAGTCGTGCATGAAAAGTACACAGGTATCAAAAAGAAAGCATAAAAGAAGGTCTCCTCACAGGACATGCTTTTACACTGATTTCTTCGTGTTTGAGTACTTTACATGCATGAGTGAATTTACTGACAACAACTCAGAACTCGACTTTCAGTATTTATTTTTTTTAGGATTTTTTTGTATTTTCATTAAATAAAATACCTTGATCAAGGTATTTGTAATACCTTGATAAAGCTATATAGCTTTATCAAGCTATATACCAGGGATGGGGTAATTGAAAAAAGTAATTGTAATTGACTGTAATTAATTACATTTTTTGAGGTAATTGGAAGTAATTTGTAATTGAACATTTTTTCAATTACTTGTAATTTAATTAATTACACTGAAAAAATACCATGTAATTTCAATTACTTTTTCAATTACATTCAATTACTTTATATGATACACATTCATGATATATTCATGATATATCATCACCACTACCTCCCCATTTTACTGCATGGTTTTTATTTTATTGTTAAACAGATATCCTCAATCCTTCAATTATACAAAGTCTTAGGTTAATGCTTACAAAAAAATAATTAAATGATTGGCTTGATAATAATAAACTGGTTTCTTTCTAATCATTATGTAAATTTTGAATTTTTTGATCTATATTTATAAATATGAATTTTGAACCTTCCTTCTTAGGTCTATTCAGCTATGAAACACACATTTATTATATTTCAGTCTTTGTTGTTTGATCAATAATAAAGTAAAAGAAGGTGTGTGTCATTAATAAGTTCTCTCTTGTTGGGAAGAGATAATTGCCCTCCAGATCACAGCTTTAAATTGCAATCAAAACAAATCAACTCCTCGAAAGAGATATTCATTCCATGATTTAGAAGACAAAGCCAATGGAGATAATTATTTCAATTTAAAATGTTCTGCTAGCTTTAGAAAAAAAACTTTCAATTTGATAATTACTTTAACATCTAAACAGA